CCTTTTTTAGGTGAGCAGCACCCTGAATGTGTAGGCTGATCTCACCTGATTTAAGTTGCTGTGTAGACTAGCAACAGTTATAGGCTTATTTTACTTTATTTTTTATTTTCTGGTGGATTACAAGTTACTTTTACAGGAAGGACCTTATTTTCCAACACTTCAGTTGCCTAAAAAGACCGCTTCAGCCAGGGTGGATTTAAAGTATAAAACGTCACAAGAAGTAAAAACTACATTTTAGCCCTCATGTGAATAAGACATTGTTCCCTTGCAAATTTTAATTTAACGTCATTTTGGAAACTAAGAAGGGGAGATGTAATGATATGAGACATAGTCTGTTTCCCTTTCATTGTAAACACTCCAGGAGCAGTTCTCACATTGTCTTGAAATTCAGGGCTTCTGGGAACATAGGGCCTGGGGTGTATATAAAGCTCTGTCTGTGTCTCTAGGTTGTTGTTGTTTTGTTGTTGTTGTTGTTGGGTTTTTTTTGGGGGGGGGATCATTTGACAGGTGAAGTGAACTTTTCTACACTCGGTAACCATAGATGTTTAAAAATTAAAAAGGCCTATGCCTGTAACTTACTGTAATGGAAATGTTTTATAAAAATTATACATATATCAGACCTGTGTTACTGGAATAGGTTTTGGGGTGCACTATATATATTTATAGGGCCTATATGCAATATCATAATTATATGTTAGTGAAACTATAGCGTCTTTTCATCGGGCAAATAATAATTTTAAAAAACCTTCAGTTTTACAATCCAGGGAGAATTATTTCGGATTAAAGTGCCAATTTGTTTTTAAAAATCAATGAACATTTTAGATAGAGTATATCTCCCGTGTAAATCTATAAATCTCAGTTTGTCTAGCATCTGCGTTTTAAGTTGCCACTTTTTTTGTTGTCCAAGAGTGGCCTCAAAAATAGCAAAAGTTGTCTTAGATAAGTTGCCATTAATTTTCAAGCTTTCAACTCTCAACTGTGACGACGTATATAGATCTATAGCAATCAGGGGCGGCTCGTGGGTCTAAAAAGTGGGCGTGCACAATTAAGCTATCTTAGGCTAAAGATAATCAAGGGCAGAGTAAATGGGATGGTGTATAATTGTAGGATCTTTGGGTTGGTGAAGGAAGACCTTGTGCTTTTATTTTCATTCTTTTTACTTGTGGCTTTGACTTCTAGAACCAAATCTGTTTGTTAGCTAAACGGCAATTTTAATTCATCCTGCATTAGAACTGAACACTCAAGTAATACCTTTCACCACTCCACTACAAAACCGTTCAAAAGCACAACTCATAGGACGGGGACTTAAGTATGTCAGTATGTCACGTTCACCTCCCTCAGGTTCACGGTCACAGAGTTACTTAAAATAGCGACAAGACAATGAACCAATCACATTTCACTTGAGCACTCCGCTGGATTGCTCCGGGGCCCACATAATTTTGGCATGGAATAGTGCACAGTCTATGGCGTTTATTTTTAGATTGCCTACTGTGGGCTATGTTTCGGCGCTATTCGGCAGGAGCATACTTGAGATGTGCCGTCTTATTAATATTAATGTACCGTCAAACTCTCTACAAGTGTCGTCATCGCTTGGGTTATCCCAAAGAGCGATTTATAGGTCAGGTTTCCACTGTTGACTATCCTGCTATGTTTAGATACAGCGCATGAACTTAGGCATCGCATAGTAGATGTTTTACGGCGCTATAGAATAGAACGGCGCCAGCGAGGGCCTTGTTTTGATATAAAATATTTGGCTAGTGTTTGTTTCTGGCGTCTTTTATTTTTATTATTGCGGGTGCTTTACGTCATAGAACATTAAAACATTTTGGGTGGCTCTGCACGACCGTGCTCTATGGACGAACCGCGCCTGATAGCAATATATTGATAGAGGTGTAAATTAAATCTAAAGCACCAGAATTTCTTGTGCTCTGCAGGCCATTTGTAGCACACATAGTGTAAAATAGTGGGGGAAAAAAAAAGGTTTCACAAAGGATTAAATCAAAATTAGAACAGCACATAGCGGTGTCCTTGTTTTGTGGTTAGGTTAGGCAGCGTTCTACAAGGATTTTGCCGAACAAGTTCGAGAAGTTTTTCATAAATTGCTGTGGAAAACTTCATTTTGCTGATTAGTAGTGATTAGTGAACCTCAAACAGCTATCTCCGCTAGCAATGCAGCAGGAAAACACACCAACAGCACATATAGGCCTAATGTGTCGACACCAGAGAGTTTACAGTAATAGTATTACTGTAAACCAAGGAGTTTACTGTAAACTCCTTGCTGTAAACCCTCTCTGGTCGACACGTGGGGCCTACATCTAAGTGTATGTGTGTGTGTGTGTGTGTGTGTGTGTGTGTGTGTGTGTGTGTGTGTGTGTGTGTGTGTGTGTGTGTGTGTGTGTCTGTGTGTGTGTGTGTGTACAGTAGTGTGTTATGTGTGTGTGTGTGTGTGTGTGTGTGTGAGTGTGTGTGTGTGTGTGTGTGTGTGTGTGTGTGTTTGTGTGTGTCTACCAGTCGTCTCAGCCACATCGGGGCAAGAAATATTCACTTTAAAAAAATCTAGCCCCCTTGATTTAAAAAAAAATTGAATATAGATTAGTCTGTATTTTTTTTAATATCGCAAAAAGGAGGGGGCTCGTGGAGCAAACAGACTAATTATGAGGCGCTGATTTTTAAAAAATGGGCTTATTTTTTAGATCCCTTCAATATTCAATGTTTGTCAATCCACGTTAAAAAAAACTCCAGTAGGCCACAGAGGTGCAGACGCCGACAGAAAGCAGAGGTTTTCAAACACAGCCGATGGACTCGAACCTGGCACTGTGGGGGATGAGCCGGACCAACGGGGAGCTTTAAGTGGAGATTTGGAAAGTGTGTGAGACAGGGTGCTCAAGGATAGATAAGAAGGCTAAAACAGCACCTGGACGTGGATGGCTGGTGTCAATATAATAATATATAAATTATTGATAGTCAAGGCTGGATAGAGGGGGACTGTCGTCAGGTAGTCAACCTGTCTGTCAATCTGTCTGTCTCCTCTGTGGCTCCCTCTTTCTCCCTCTCTCTCTCTCTCTCTCTCTCTCTCTCTCTCTCTCTCTCTCTCTCTCTCTCTCTCTCTCTCTCTCTCTCTCTCTCTCTCTCTCTCTTTCTCTCTCTCTCTCTCTCTCTCTCTCTCTCGCTCTCTCTCTTTCTCTCTCTCTCTCTCTCTCCCGCTCTCCTCTCATCCCCTTACCCTGGGGGGACCGGACTGAGAGAGGGGAGAAGACACTCCAGTATCTGACACTCCCCCGACTAGTCATAGTTCTTTTGGCGTAAATATGTCCACAGCACAGTGAGCTAATCGTGAGCTCTTTGTTT